TCGAGTGTCAGCCTATGATACTCGAGTGTCAGCCTATGATACTCGAGTGTCAGCCTATATGATACTCGAGTGTCATCCTATGATGCTCGAGTGGCAGCTTTGATACGAATTCAGTAATTAACAGTTTCAAATGATTTTTTTTTTTCATTTTAAGGCTATATATATATACGATATATATACGATTTTTAATTTTTAAGTTTTTATTAACATTTTTTCAACTTTTTTACAAAGTCTCTGAGAACTAATCTTCATTAATGTGATTACTGAATACCCTGTAGCCTGTAGGATCGTTTTTCACTGCTCAGTTTCCATAGCACCAAGAAACTCTCGTCTACAATATTGAATATGTTTCAAGTATAGACAGGTTTACTATATTTATGACGTCGATTATTGATTTGTACCAATTTGATAAAATGTTTTAGAAGAATAAAAATACGTATTTGTTCTCAAGGTGTATAAATACATATCTATATATTTTCTATATATTTTTCTTGTTTGACTGTCTATTAGGATGTATATGTGACCCCGGGGAAACTTTATGGATGCTTAAAATTACAAAATGTGCATGTCTGCAAAAGTTTTAAATTTTGTAAAATTTTGAAAATGCCCGAAAAATATTATCAAATCCACATTTTTATCTTGTTAATGTTTAATATTGTACAAAGAGAAGATGCTCACAGAGAGCCAGAATTAAAAGTTAAAAAAGAGATATGTGCGAAGCGCCCTAAAAGTTTAGTAAATACTTACTGAAAAACAATATGTAAATTAAATATTATTATTAATGATATATTGTTCAGGTAAGAAAATGTAGCATATTTACAAATTTTATCATATATTTCTTTATAATTACATACAGTGATAACCAGATAAAAATGGAAAAGGAATACGACATTATCGCAATACTTCAGTTTTTTTGATGGTGTTACAAAGCAAATGGTTTTACCAGACACTTATAAAATCACTTTTTTTGTGAAATGGGTCTTTTTTCACTGCACAATTGCTGTGTTTCGTCGTCATTGAACTATTTAAAGTTAAAGCTTGATTCTAAAAGTCGTCTTACTATTCCAGAGTTTTCTGGTTATCACTCCCCAAATCAGGAGTTTTGAACGTCGAATTTGCACTCAAACTCAGGATTTACAGATCTTTAAAAAGTGAAATATGTCTCAAATGAATCCTTAAGAAGTTTTCTACAACACTGCGTCCTCAGTTCAACTACCTTACATAGCCGGTCACTCCCTTTAAAACGTTCTGAAACTAACTAGACATGTAGCTTAACTAAAAAATGAAAGAAAATAGATTAAATTAGCAAATTGAAATAATTATGCCCCTGAGCAACAACTCCCCTTGATCTGTTTTTTCTGTCCCCTTCAGAAAGTGTCGGACT